AAAGGGGCGGAAACTCCACGCAGAAATACACCTTTGGGAGCATGATATGGGTTTGTCCGATGTTACCTGGAAGTTCGGACTGACATGAATGACAAAAGAGACTTGGCGGTGTCGCTATTCTTTTTTGCTGTTTTATTTGGGGGGGGTCCTCGAAGAAAGGCACACCCACTTGGAGCTCACCTACTCTGCTGACAGTGTCGTCGCCTGGTTTGAAACCCACCGCTTGGGCGGAATCCAGGCTTCGTCTTGCGAACATGGCAAAAAACTGGCTGAAGTTTTGGGGTAGCGGGAACAAGTGGACTTGTCTCCCTAAAAGTCGGCGTAAAAACAGAACTAAATGGTATGGGAAAGGATGGTGATCCCGTTTAAGGTTATGAACATTATGTTGTTTGTGACAGGGTCCCGGCGATTTCTGAAATCACCACAGTTTCGATGAACCACCCGGATTCTACATTCCTCTCCAATGCGCCAGCATTGCGGCCCATCGCCAACTTTGGCTTTGGACCAAAGTATCCCGCCGGAAATAGGAAATTCATACGATCCACTGGGTAGATCACTATCCCCGAGGCAAGAAATCCGTTCAGGGGACCTTGAATGGCCCGCTTGACACACCAAATCCATCGGTCGACGCATCTGCCCATAGGCAAGGCCCCCAAGGCTGGACTGTGCACTTGCCGGCCTCCCCCCCCCCAATTGAAAACGCACTGGGAGTGGTGAGGCGTTGGGTGGGGTGGCCCAAGGTTACCTTCTGAAAGTCTCCTTTTATGTCCGGTGACCCAGGGCAGGGCATGTCAAGAATAAGGAGGACCCAGGCATCCCAGAGGATATTAACACCTGGGACCCCCCTCGGATTGTGTCATCTTGACTCCCCCTTCTTGACAATTCCTGTAAAATTCAAGGGTCCCTAGTCTTGACAGAAATCCCCATTTAGTGCCACGTACCACGAGAGCTGCCCACCTCCGCGCGCCTCAAAATCCACGTCAAACTTCACCCGTACTCCGGGAGCCATGCCATAGCCTCATGCGAAAAGCAGCTGGCTGCACATTTGCTGAGGTTGTCTCACTCGTGCTCAGGGAATGAGTTGCCCCTTATTAACCATTTTCTATGGCTTCCTTTCAGCGATCTCTGTCTTACTGGTGCTCACGGAATGCATTGGAATGCCGCCTCTAAACCATTTTTCCATGGTTTCCTTTAAGGGAATCCCCAGGTTCATTCCAACTCATTCCCTACTGAGCGCCAGCAAGTTGTTAAGCGCCCCGAATAGGATTCGCCGAGTCCATCCAATCCCAAGAGGGGCGATTTCAGCGGCTGGTAGGGTCTCGTAGGGGCCTTTTTCGGGTTCCTTTGGAGGGGCCCCTGACCATAGGGTTCTCCCCTTGCAGAGATCACCCCGCACTCCGGTGAAGGGGAAAAGAAGGCTCCGCTGATCGATCCTGTTTTACCTCTTTTAGCCAGGCTGTGCTGTTTTGGGCCACAAAAGAAACGACCCCCACTTTTCCTAGCGCCCCTCACCCACAACCGGTTTCATGGAAGCTCCCAGAACTTCCTGAAAAGACTTGGTTCCATTTACAGTGGCCTTCTAGGAAAAAATGTCAGTCTGAGGGAGAGTACCGGCTGGCCCTTGAAGGAGCTCTTAGACTCCCAGCCTCTTGCGAGAGATGTGATGCTGAGTCCCCCAAAAGCGCATTCAGCCTTGAAATGGTTGGGTGTTCTTTTCCCTTTAAAACGACCCCGCAAAGGGTACCCTCCAAAAAACAAACATACTGTGGATGGCCGAGATCGTGCACCACCTACGAATCTCTGGAATCATTCGGTAGCCTAACCTTTGGTAGCCAAAGTGTGGTGAGTACCCCAGCCGTTTGCACCAAAAATCGACTCCCCATCCGCTCACAGGGACGAGTGGCGGCTCTCAGCACAAGATTTGTCAGCCAAAAACAGGAGCACCGTCTCCCCGCTTCCTAGCAATGGTTTAGTTGCCAGGCGCCGCCCCACCTACAACACGGGAAAAAACGCTTTGGTTAGCCACCTCTTCCCTTCCTTGGTTGCTGTTGACCCCCCTGCAAAAAGCTTTCTAACTTTTTGGAGGTTTTATAGAAAACACCTTGATTTCCCAAAAAGCTCCAGTCTAAAGATCCGTTACCCAAGAGCAGTCAAGCCTTCGACTTCGCCAAGGCGCGCTTGATGTAGTTCTTGAAGCTCTCACCCTTGGCGTTGGCCACCTACAGTCAAAAAAGTTGATGAGCGGGGTCAAAGACACGTGGCTCAACCAGCTGTTGGTTGGGTGAGCAAAACACACATGGGGGTTGTCCTATATTCTTTTGCCCGGGATTGGCCTTGGGCCGCACTTGCGCGGCACTTGCGTGCGCACAGTGACGCAGAAACTCGGCTTTGCTGACCTCGGTTTGCGAAGTTTTCGTGTGGATTGCGCGCGAGCTTTTCTAAGCAGTGTGTTTGTCGTTCACACAGCAACCCACAAAGGCGCTTCCCGCTGAGGTCGCTGCCAGCGATTCTAGGCCAGCAACATACTCTTGACCCAACAGAAAGACAGCAGGCTCTGCCACACAGCTTGGACACAGCCTGACAGAAGGAAAGTGCATGTTGTGGCTGCCTATCCATTGCTTGAACCGCGCCGCTGGGGACATCTGAGACAGCATATGGCTAGATGTCTTGCTGGGGCTTCTCGTGCTTGCGCGCAACTTGAACGCGGCTTGCGCGCGGCTTGCGCACATTTTGTCGTGTCAGTTGCTGATGACCGCAGAATAGCCAAAGCTTCGTTTGGTGTCTGGCTGAAGAAAACGGCGCACCTTTGCAAACAAGCTTGCGACCTACACATGACCCAAGCAACATTCTAAAAACACAAGTACAGTAAAAAGATATTACCTCCTTTCATGAAGCGGCAACATCAGTACATGAAACCCTTCAAAGCTGCAACCTTGCGCGTCCCTTGGGCAGCACTTGCGCTCCTTGCGCGCGCGCACAGCTCTTGACAACTTTTACTTCTCCCCGTTCGGCGATCATTAAAACCGTTGATTGGGGTTTTAGGAGGGCCCTCACATGGCCATGGGTCAAAATCCAAGTCGTACCCCCAGTGAACATCCCAATCCCCACTAAAATAGACTAAAATGGGTGGTGCACCTACCCCAAAATGGTATTGGTGTTGACCCACAGCCACATGTTCAACGGAAACAACAAAAAACGCAGATCCAACCTACTACCTATCCGGGAAAAAACAACAACTGCTTGTTGATGAGTGGGGAAAGTTGAGCAGGTTCAAATGGTCAAAGGTAGATCCAAGCTCTTCCTGTCCATAGCAAGAGCGAAGTCGGCGTCCTTTATTAGCCCCTTTAAAGCCCCACCAAAAGGGGGGCGGGGCGGTCCCTAAACAAACCCCCTTTTGGTTCCCCTTTAAAACCCAACCGGAACCCTAGAAAACAGAAGACCTACCCCACGTTGGCCTTCCACCCACGCGCATTCCACGCGCGCGCGCGAGAGCCAAGCCGCGTGCAGCTGGATGTCGTCGTTGTGCCGCCCCTCGCGCTTGACGAAGCCATACTCCGCCGTCTTCCAGGCCACCACCGTGCCTCGAGGTGCCAAGAAAGTTGGTGGGGTTGGCGTCCCCTTCTTTGGTGGGTTTAAAGAAGAGGAATACCCTAGAACAGAACAGAACGCTAGATATTACAAGATACATGTGTTTGATGTATAGATTCTTGAGATTTTTTTTGGGGGGGGACCATCTTTTGGGGGTATCCCGGTTTGAGAGGGCAACTGTTTGTTTGTGGGGAGTCCCTAAAAAAGCCAAGCCCGAATAGAAAACTCCTCGCAGGTATCAGTCATTCTGACCAGACTCCCTTCAAATGCGATGTTTTCCCTACCGCACCCTCGGGTTCTCCCCAGCTGGGCGCCACAATTCTGAGCTGACGTTTGCTTCTACCAACATGGCCATATCCTGTTCGAGGCGGACCCCTGCATCCTCAAACATGGGCTGCTCTAACTGGCAACAAGAGACTGCCCTGCTAGGAGCACTTCCCAACAGGCAATGTCCTATTGTCCAAAAGCGCGTGTGTCCCATCACATCTGAGACACAGTCTACCCAGAACCATATACAGAACTGAGAAGGCGGATATCCGCAACTACCTGCCCCTTGCTACCCTTCATCTACCCGAATCGGTTTTGAGCACGTGGCCCTGGTCATTCCCAAGCCCTTTCCAGAGCTTCCCCAAAGCCATGCGGACGAGCGGCCCCTTTCCCGAGGCTTGCCATTGCGCGGGGGCATGCCGATCGAGGACCCGACTTGGGCGGATGCGCATCCGCCCCCAGATTCGACAAGAACTCTGGAGCCCAAAGGCGGCAGGGGCGAAGTGTTGCCCCACCCCGGCAGGCCCGTTACATGGCAGTGGGTCAAAAATGTGTACCCAAAATAGGAACCCTGGTAAATGGAAACATGGATGGAAAATTGTGGTCCCATGGTGGTTTAATTTTGATCCATACCCACATTGCCTTCAACTAACTGGAAGTGCACAGACTTCTTTAGTCGTGAGGTCTCTGCACTTCCATGTCGGGAGGTTAGCAAAGTTTGCAAAGTAGCTTGTGACAGAGACACAATTTGGCCAGCCTTCAAATTGAGGTACAACGAGTTTTCCTTCGCTGGCTTCGTCCTCGGTCTGGCATGCATATTATAAAGCGGCAACATCCCTAGCATCACCAGCATCATTTGTTAGTTTGCTGATGGCTCATTTAGCGATGTTTGTGTTCGGTTCAAATAATGCTGGTGATGTTGCGGATGCTGCCTCCCATTGTGATGGGTGTGTCGCATTTATGGACCCTTTGTAATGTGGGGTTGAAACCAAAGAAAACCAAAGGAAAACCAAAGGGAAAACCAAAGGAAACCAAAGGAAAACCAAAGGACCCAAAGAAAAACCACGGAAAACCAAAGAAAACCAAGGAAAGCACCCCCGTGTTCTGGCTGCTTCTTCTTTGTTGACACCTCAAGCCCAAGCCGCCTGCTTCTCGAAGTTCTGCCACGTGGAAGCCACGCGCTCCTCGTCCAGCCACACGGAGATCTCCTGAAGCGAGCTGCCCAACCAACCCCCCCCGCCTCCCGATGTTTTTTGGGGGAGTGCCCGTGAGCGGCACTCTGAGAGGGCAGAGAGGGCAGAGAGAGAGAGAGAGAGAGAGAGACAGAAAGAGAGAGAGAGAGAGAGAGAGAGAGAGAGAGAGAGAGCGAGAGGGAGGGAGCGAGAGAGAGAGAGAGAGAGAGAGAGCGAGAGAGAGAGAGGGAGAGAGAGAGAGAGAGAGAGAGAGAGAGAGAGAGAGAGAGAGAGAGAGAGACAGAGAAAGAGAGAGAGAGAGAGAGAGAGAGAGAGAGAGAGAGAGAGAGAGAGAGAGAGAGAGAGAGAGAGAGAGAGAGAGCGAGAGGGAGGGAGGGAGCGAGAGAGAGAGAGAGAGAGAGAGAGAGAGAGAGAGCGAGAGAGAGGGAGAGGGAGGGAGAGAGAGAGAGAGAGAGCGAGAGAGGGATATATACATATATATATATATATTTAAAGAGAGACCCAGGAAGTTTGTTGACTACCAAGTCAACTGCGCGAAGTTGGGCCCCACTTGTTGGGGAGTGGCCTGTGCTCCATTGGGTGTTGAAGCCTGTTCAAGTATAGTGGGTTGGAAAAGGGCTGCCCCCTCCCTCCAAACAAACATAGAACAAAGATTAAAATGGGTGCGCCTCTTTGCGACACTGCGCGGCCCAGTGGCGTGTGCCGCTAAGAAAGCATCAGAACAAATCCCCCAAACCTGACCTGCTGTTTTGCAAGCAAGTGCACTCACCGACCTGCAAAGAAGGACATGCAGCCAACCCAGGATTTGCCAGTTGATGTTTTTTTTTTTGGGGGGGGGGCCTCTAAAAAATCCGCACCTCCCTTTACTACTATGCAAACTCTAATATTTCACCAACACAAAATCAGACACGGGACCCTCAAGAAAACCTTCAGTTTGTGGTTGTCTGCCGCAGACACACAACCTTCACATGTGACTTCCGCCGCGGTCTTCTTCTTTTCGCTTCCCAAAACCGAGCTAGTAAGTGGCGATCGCCACTTGGGGCTTTTCACCTGCTGACCACAGGTTCTTGACCCCACATTCACCAGGGGACTCGTTTGTACCCGCCCGGCGACCCGCCCCGTGGCCCGCCCGGCGACCACCCGTGCCCCTCTCCCGCCCGCATGGGGATCGGGATCGGGATCGGACGCGCGGATCCTGCGTCAGGGAGTCCACGAGCTTCACCACCTCCGTCTTGAGGTCCCCGAAGCGCTCCAGGAGCTCCTTCTGATGGCCCTCCGTCAGCCTCCCCGCCCCGCGTCCATCGCGCCCGGAGTCGCCGATCGACTTCTTCGTTAATGACCACGAGACCGAGCCCGGTTTGGGGGGATTCCCGAAGAAAGGAAACCATGGCTGTTGTGGATGGACGAAATCCTGCACCACCTAAGAAACTCGGGAATGATGCTTCCCATGCAAATACCAACGAACAATGGTTTTCCATAGCTTCTACCTGGTGCAGGATTTTGTCCATCCACAGTATGATGGCATTCTATTTCGGGGGTCATTCCATTTCTCATTCCCCGCCGATCGAAGCAGCAAGTTTGGCGCCAAATCCCCCGGCGGCATTCGCGAAAACGGCTCGGGTGGAACGCCGCAGAGAAAGGAAGGCCCTTCTAGCAGAACCGCCAACCATACAAATGTCCCCAAAAAAAGATGGGAAAGTGAGAAAGTGGGCCGAGGTCTGCAAGTTGGAGCTGGCTTCCTTCTCAAATCCGTCTCAGGAAGTACAGGCCCGAGAAACTGGGGGACTGATTGGTGAAACAAAACCAGTCCGTGAGCTATTGAAGGCACACACACCAAAGGGAGAAGCCGGGGAGCCGTCAGTGAGAATTCTTGCGTCTGGCCCTTAGCTGAGACTGAGACCGATCCACGGTATCCATCGACCGAACCCCCTGCTGCAGTTCTTCAACTTGGCATGTCACATCTGGCGCTCAAGAGGCTGTTCCCCTTGTTCACCAAAAGAAAGAGAGCAACCATTGGAGAAACAAATCTACATCATCTAGCGGGATTGCTTCCCAAAAAGGATCATCCACTGATCCTTTTGAGGCCCATGGAGGTCCACCCCTCTGCTTGTTCTGCCAAATGAGACACAAAAACGCCACTTGCGTATGTGCCAACAACCCCCCAAAAATGACGGATTTTCCTCTTACCCGGTTTCAACCCGCCACAGGCTCGCCCAACTCCAAAGGAGGGGCCGCGCCGCCAGTTGACGGCTCGACATGCGGCACTCTGGCACTCTGAGCTCGAGCCCGCCGGGCCTGTGCAGATTCACCCGGACCTCTGCAAAGAAGGCCGTCCGCGTGCGCGCATCCACCGCCTGGCGAAAGAGCGCGCTTTTGGCGGGGTCTTTTGGTCTTTCTAAGGGGACCCCCCCCCAAAAAAAAGAGCGTTTTTGTTTGGCGTCCCTTTCAAACCACGCGAACATCTCTGGAAACATGGAAAACATTGATGGCCCTTTTGGTGACATCATTTGCCATGAAGATCTAGGTCCACAGTGTGAAAAAATTACACCAGCATAGACCCCAGATAGCACACCACGGATACGAACCATGACGCAGCATTATCATGATGATGTAGACCATGATGACACCACAGCCACGAAACAAACGCGCAGACAACGTCCTACTGAGATCAGCAGCATAATGATGATTTTGAGAGCAATCCGGCAGGAAAAAGCAAACCGAGGTCCTGATGAGTTCGACAGCATCATGATGATGCGGACAGCATCATGATGATGCGGACAGCATCATGGTGATGCGAACAGCGTCATGCTGATGGTAAAGGCAGCATCATGATGATACCACAGCCACGAACCATCTTGCGACAGCTTAATGAAATTCTGCATCATCCTGACGTTTGACAGCATCACGGCGCCACTACACCCACACACCATAACGTGGGAACATCATGACGATACACCAGCCACGAACCGTTACACGCGAACAGCATCCACCAGCACCCCAAACATGCCCCCTAGCACCCGGTACAACCAAAGCAGCATCCACCCGCGCCTCAAACTGCATGCCCCTTAGCACCCGGCCGTCAAGCTCGCAAAGCAGCATCCACCAGCACCCCAAACTGCATGCCCCCTAGAACCGGCCGTCAAGCTCGCAAAGCAGCATCCACCAAGCACCCCAAACTGCATGCCCCCTAGCACCCGGCCAACTCGCAAAACAGCATCCACCAGCAGCCCAAACTGCATGCCCCCCAGCACCCGGCCGTCAAGCTCGCAAAACAGCATCCACCAGCACCCCAAACTGCATGCCACTTGCACCCGGCCAGCTCGAAAAACAAAACAGCATCCACCAGCACCCCAAACTGCATGCCCCCAGCACCCAGCGGTCAAGCTCGCAGCATCCACCAGCACCCGAAACTGCATGCCCCCTAGCACCCGGTCGTCAAGCTCGCAAAGCAGCACCTACCAGCACCCCAAACTGCATGCCCCCTAGCACCCGGCCGTCAAGCTCGCACAGCAGCACCCACCAGCACCCCAAACTGCATGCCCCCCTAGCACCCGGCCCTCAAGCTCGCAAAGCAGCATCCACCAGCACCCCAAACTGCATGCCCCCCATGCCCCCTAGCACCCGGCCGTCAAGCTCGCAAAGCAGCATCCACCAGCACCCCACAGCGCATGCCCCCTAGCACCCGGCCGTCAAGCTCGCAAAGCAGCACCCACCAGCACCCCAAACTGCATGCCCCCCAGCACCCGGCCGTCAAGCTCGCAAAGCAGCACCCACCAGCACCCCAAACCGCATGCCCCCTAGCACCCGGCCGTCAAGCTCGCAAAGCAGCACCCACCAGCACCCCAAACTGCATGCCCCCTAGCAGCCGGCCGTCAAGCTCGCAAAGCAGCATCCACCAGCACCTCAAACTGCATGCCCCCGAGCACCCGGCCGTCAAGCTCGCAAAGCAGCATCCACCAGCACCTCAAACTGCATGCCCCCCAGCACCCGGCCGTCAAGCTCGCAAAGCAGCATCCACCAGCACCTCAAACTGCATGCCCCCAAGCACCCGGCCTCAATCTCGCAAAGCAGCATCCACCAGCACCTCAAACTGCATGCCCCCTAGCACCCGGCCGTCAAGCTCGCAAAGCAGCATCCACCAGCACCTCAAACTGCATGCCCCCTGGCACCCGGCCCTCAATCTCGCAAATCACTTTCCCCTCTTTATTAGAAGTTAGAACCCCTATAGCTTTCAGCTATCTGGGGAAATATGCGTGACTGTGATCCAACTACTAAAATTCCTGGCATGATAGAAACCACTCACGTTGGTCCCCACCAAAAACGAGGAGGTGTTGACAGCCTCAGAAGCCTTTGCCCCACTGGAGCGAAAGCCCTCCCGAAACGAATACAGCCCAGAGACAGGGGGCGAATGGAAAAGAACACCACATCCACCTCACACGCACGGCTCCGGGTTTTTTGTTCAGACCTCTCAAAAGGGCGACACTAGGGATACCCCCCAAATCCAAGTGCCGGCCTGCCATTCACACAAGACTTGCTGGTGCTCAGGGAGGGAATGAACCGGTTTCGGGGCTTCCCAGAAAGGAAACATTGGGTATGGATAGTCTCCGGGTCATTCCAACTCATTCCCTGCCTATCGCACCTAGGTCCTCCAATAGAGAAGTTAGAACAAAGGTACCCTTTTTTTCTGTAGCCCATTTTGGTAGGGGAACCCTCCTCCCAAAAAGAAACGGAAAGAAAGGGCACGATCCTTGGGGGACACCTAGGCACCGATCGCAAGAAACAACTCGCACCGGAAATCTTCGGAGAGAGGCGCCTCGCGCCTCGCGGTATCGAAGGATCGAAGGAGACCCGGCCTTGAGGGCTTGGGAGGTTTGCTCCTCCTTGAGCTTCGTCACCAACTCCTGGGCCCAAAGTCACTTGGGCATAGGAAAACAGACGCCAGGAGTTCCACCGCTGGGCTTTTCAAAATCCAAATCGTAGCCCCAGTGAACATCCCAATCCAATAAAATGGGTGGTGCACCTACCTCAAAATGGTACCATTGGTTTTGACCCACAGCCAAATGGCTGTGGGTCAAAACCCTGTACCCCCTGGTGAACATCAAAATAGGTGGCAAATGGATGTGCATCCACCCCAAAAAGGAGCCATAGGCTATGCCCCATGGCCCAAAATCTGGGCTCTTGCCGTTTTGGGGGTACCCTATTTTTGACCCACACCCAGTGTGGCGGGGTGAACCGATCAAACAAATGGGCTCCTGTTATCCAAGGATGCCCAAAAAGATCATCCAATAGGAGTTTGGTTGAGCCAAGTGAGGATGAAGCCTTTTCCATGCGTAACCCAAGTGCACTTGATGCTGTGGGTCTTACCTGATCAAGTAGCTAAGTAGCAAACAAAGCATGAAACAAATACAACACGTAAACGTTGGTGCAGTCTTAAGTGGGCAGTACACTGCTACACGAACTGTGGCAGACCCCCCTTTACAGGTCTGTTTCCCAACATTTCGGGTCCGCCTTTTGGATACTGTGCACAAGGAAATCTCGCCAACCTCGGAACAGACTTAGAACCCGAAACTTTGAAAACCCTGGATTTGAAGCAGTGGGCTAATGTCCTCGCTGATTCGGTGGCATGTGAATATGTGGGTTGCAAGAGGTTCGGGGCCATCCCAAAACAAATGAGTTGACACGCTGCCATGTCCCAAAGTCAGCATCCACCCGTGGTTTTGCAGGTTGCCCATCTCAGTTGCCGAAAAAACCTGGAACTAAAAGGTCGACTCAACTTCAGGACCAAAATGGGGAAACCAAAAGGTAAAAGGTCTGCTTTGAACAACTGAGCCATCTGTTGCAACGAGTCCTCAATCGCAAACCGACACTTGGCTCTGCTCCCCTTTACGGCTACGGGGACTGAAGACTGAAGAGGGTCTTTGTGTATGTGCCTTCTCAATCATGGTTCGGACTTGACAAACCCGATTCAGACAATCTTGTTTGCTTTCTGCTCTTCTGTTAAAAGTGTATTAACTTTGAGTGGCTTAATGAACAACCCATTCGTTGGCAAAAAGTTCAAGTCCTAACATCCAAGCAAAATGCACCAAAGATCATCTTGCTTGCAAGAAAGAAACATGGCAAACAGCGCTTTGTGAGGATTTCCAGTGTGGGAAGCCGCAAACCCACGAGGGCTGGATGTCCAAGATATTTTGAGATGAAGCAAGCCATGGCGGGCCCCTAGCAACACCGAATCGGCCCTTCTGCAGATGAGTGATCTTTAGAGGGTCTCAGTCTGGTCCCTTGTCAAACATCGGGACGTGCAAGGGGCAGATTTTGGATTTTGGCACCAGTAGCAAGCTGACAGCACCCTGCATCCGACACGGCCAGATTTACTGATTAGGACTTGTCAAATAGACTCTGTGATTGCCCACAAATGGCCTGGAGGTTTGAAGGCAAAGTTTCACGCGAGCGAGCTGATCTGAGGAAGCCCAGTTTGGAAACATTGGCCGTTTGCTTTCAGCGGGGCCGTACAACTCGCACAGTGCCAGAGGATTTTCCCTTACGCCCCATGCAAACCCCCTACCACCCGCATGCAATTCGGGTTTTGCAACTTGCAACGCCTTCTTTGCCACTGCAAAGGATAGCAAGCAGCTGCTTGCACTGCGCGAGCGCATTCTTGAAACGCATCCATCCAGCCCTTCCCGCCTCTGCCGCAGGGCCCGGCGTCGCCGGCAGAGCCGTCAAGCGCCTGTGAGCCACGATAATAAAAAAAACACTCCGAGTAAACAAATGCAAAGACACTTTGCTCGGATCACTTTGCTCCGTTTGCTTCACCTGACTGAAGAAAGGTCAAGTGGATCAGAGGCCATTCGTTAACCCGACTGAAGAACCAGTCAACCAGTGAGTCAGCTCCCCTGCACCCCGCCCTCAGTGCAATTTTTCCCACCTGCGGAGCTCCATGAGCGCGGGCGGCTCGCCGCCCTCAGGTTTAGTGGACCCAAGTGCCACCAACTTTTGGCAGGAAACCCGAGTGCGGCGACCTCAGTGGGCTTCAAATCCCGAAACTGGGGGAAGGGGTTCACAGACAGGATTGTGGACTTTGCCAACTGCGTGTCAAGTCTCCAAGTGGGACTTGCTCAAGAAGTGAAGATTGCAATGGAATTGGAGACTGGCGTAAACGCAGAAGGATACAGTGGATGGACGAAATCCTGCACAACCTAAGAAACCTTGGAATGATTCCCATCTTAGGTGGTGCAGGATATCGTCCATCCAAAGTAGGGACGATTTCGAGGGGAACCCAAAATTGGACCGAGATGATCTCGGATGGGTTCACACCTCTGGGGTACGCAGAAAAACATTTGTTCTGGCTCTCTTCCACATGGGTCTGTCTTTTTGGAGGGTACTCCCTACTTTGGATTCTTCTCTAGGCAAACCAAAAGGAACACCGAAGCCACGTTCCGCCCCAGTTAAGCAGTCGCTGGACTACGACCGAGTGCACTGGGGCCGCCGGCCCTCGCGCGTGCATGGCCTCAGCTGGGAGGCTTCGGGGGCTTGGAGGTGCCGTGTTGCCACCCCCCCCCCGGCCCCATCTGGGACCACAGGATCATTTTGTGAGAAGAGCACCCAAGATTTGGACCAACCACCATATATAATTATATATGTATCCAGTCGCAGAGTGTCGCGCAGTAGCCGCCTTAGTCTAAGTTGAGGCCCTGAATAGAATGCAGCAGTTGTCCCACGCGTGCAGCGCAAAGCCCAACATCGTCCAAGATCTGTGGTCAATTTCGACTCTTGGAGGGGCGTGATGACATGGCAGCCATGGCCAAGATATGTTTTATCCTTCCAAATGACGCTTTTGGTCGTAAGCCGCCGTTTCGCACGGCCCGGTCCAAAACAAGCCCACAACTCAGCTTACAGCCTGTAGCTGGCTGGGGGCCTTTTTTAGGGGACCCCTAAAATGGCGGTGGTCGGCTTTCCTCTTGGTTTCCCTTTAAAACCAACCAAAATTCGGGATTTCCAACCCAAAGAAAAAGAACAGACCCAGGCTCCCCGTAGCCGCTGGGCATCGCGCCGGCCACATCCTGGGCTGGCACACTGGCGCTAGTTCTCGGGGAATCACTGGTCTTGGGCTGGGCAGCCTGGGGAACCATATGGAAACGACCCCTATGAACCATCCACGGGGCCATTCCCCTATGAAGTTCCCTACAGTGGATCGTGACGAAATCCGCTCCGTACCACCCTACTGTGGATTGCGACATCCACCCCTCAGAAACCCAACAGAATGATATGACCCCCAGAAAATACCAAGAAATGTGATGGTTTCAACCATGGTTTCAAGGTGCAGGATTTTGTCCAGCCACAGTAGAGATGACAAAGGAATGACCCCTGGATGGTTCATACTGTGGTTGCGAAATCCATCCAACGCACCGCCGCTCAGCAACCCCTGGTTTCTCATTCGATCTCCTGTAAATACCAACGCTTGCAATGGTTTCAACGATGGCTTCAAGGCGGCGCGAAATGGGTTTGGTCCATCCACAGCAGGGAACCATAAGGGAATGACCTACTGGTGCACAGGGGTCATTCCCCCATTCCCTGAGAAGCAAGCAAACTTCTGGCAATTGAACCTCGTGCAACCAAAGTTTGGCATGTGGTTCTTCTTGTTTTATTCCCGTTTTAACAAGTCGGGGGGGCTGAAAAGGGCGCCCTCTCAGCTTGCCCAAGGATTGCATCCCTGCCTCTGCCCCATCGCTAAAGAAGGACTGCAAGTTCTTGTACTCGGAACCTCAGACATTCCGTAGACTACAAAACCAGGCGTCAGCCAGCGGAAACCAATGCAGATCTGGCAAAGGGCTTGCAGCTGGAACACTGGACTCTGTAGCTGGGTCTCACACTCTTTGAGGCAAACGCAGCTTTTTTGGAACAGCCTGGAAACCAACATGGTTTCGGCAGAGAGCCAGCTGACCATCGCTACGCGCACCATCCTCTGCCTGACCTCACGCACAGACTCTCCGGAGGTCGCGCCGGGCGCGTGCTAAGACACTGAGGGCCCAACTAATCTCCACGGGGTAAACCCTAGACAGGGAGTACTGCTCCTGGCTGTCATCAAGAACACCCACGCAGGATGAACCAGAGATCAGAGCTTGACTCTGATTTTCTCAAGCTCATTGCGTGGGGCGTGGGAGCGGGAAAAGTTGCAACGGTCACCTATTGAGAAACTGCTGGAGAACAAGCGTCAGTTGACTCAAAGCTGCATGCATAGGTTGACATCATGTGTCAACATGCCGAGCAAACACGCCAGCTGCGTAGGACGACGCCGCACAAAACAGCTTTTGACATGATGTCGAAGGCTACGGAACCCCGACTCTGCTCTTGCAAGTCTGAAAACTGAGTGAACAAGGCTCACCTAGATCGCAGCTGCCTCAAGTGAGTCTGCAAATTGGACACCGGCACGATGCTCTGTAGCCCTTCAAAGCATCGTGCTGTGGTATTTTTTTGGCCGCACCTGCTTGGCCCTGTCCAATGCTGAACTCACAGCCAGAAAGGAAACTTCTTGAACCTCTGATAGCTCTGCCGCCTTGCCGCAGCCTGCACTTTCAGCTGCAAAAAACTCTGCCAGCCAAGATGGGAAGCACTGCCAACAAGGAGCAACCGTCTGACTCGGACAGCTTCGCCACCGCCCAAATGGCAGTTGCTGTGCCTTGCGTTAGCTCCCGTTGGAACTTGATCACCCTTTCAGACCAGCTTCGCAGCAAGGCAATAAAATGCGGTGCGCGTCCCAATCCCGACAGTGTTGCCACTCCCCCAAATACAGTTTACAATACTTTGCGGGCCCATGAACTTCATTCTAGCCCTTGCTGCCGTAGCAAGTTTCAAATGCAGACTTTCCAGGTCCAAGTAAGCAGACATGCCGTCCAGCTTTGCAATCGCCGCAAGATACTCGCCACTGCTCGAGCATTCTCTTTGGCCTGATGATTGGCCATCCTTGCCATCAACAAACTGCATTAAAGATTGGCAATTCAGAACATCCCTTGAGCTTCGCTTCTTGGCCATCCGGGGCCAGGCCGACACAGACACCAGGTTCAAGTTGGGATTGTGGCGCTCCCGCATCACCCCCAAAACCTCCGCCGCTGCGGCAGCCACAATAATCCTCCACCGAATCATCAAGTGCAAACTAGGAAAGTGTTGAAGTGTTCTGGGGTATCAACTCAGTGCACCTGCCAAATGGCAAGAGACTGCTTCCCTGTGTCAGGCTCGTTGATCAAAGATGGCACCGTGACACCTGCCACTTCCCGAGCATCGGTCCAGCAGGAATATGCTTCCCTGTTGCACAAGACGACTAAAGGGCAACCACCTTTTTCCCAGGACATGCGCCATGATTCGTCACACTCACAACTTGCTGGTTCTCAGTAGGGAATGAGGGAATGAACCTGGGGAGTCCCTTAAAGGAAACCCATAGGGGATGGTTTCTAGGGGTCGTTCCCGCATTTTTTGGTTGAGCACCAGCAAGTCACTTTACAAAATGAGAAAACAAGCCGCCGACCCCTCCACCAGACCCGCTGCTTCCAGTCCTGCAAGGCAAACTTGTGGATGTTGGCAGCAAGGATCTCCTCACCGGCATGTTCCACTTCTCTTGCTACCCATGTGACGTGCACTCCCCCAACAAAACCGGAAGCTGACCGAATCATTCGCGTCCAAAGGCAGCACGCTCGACTTTTAGGCACCTGAGAGAATGATTCGCCAAACGCTGGGAGCGTCATGGCTTGGGGAGGCATCAATGTGGTGATGGGGCAGCCAGGACGCATCTCGCACATAAAACCCGAGGGATTCGGAACAACCCGAAAACGTATGACTCCTTTTGATTGCCAGGGCTCATGGATGGGAGGGTGAGCAGCTGTTTGAGCTGCCTGTTGTTTTTTGTTTTTTTGTTTTTTACGTGTTTCCAGTACCACAGGCACCTGAATCGATAGGATGGTAGGCTGTCTGCGAGAAACAAATCGCACAGTAGGCTCTCATGATCCCTTTGGTTCACATCTATGGTCATGTTTCTGGGCTCCTGCTAAGTTGTGGTTCTCTTCACCCACATCACACCCACCGTCTGCAACCCGAGGTAACCTCCAACTGTCCCATGGAACTCCGGAGGGAGCACTCGCATTCACCTCAGTGAAATTTATGGAAACCATGGCTACTTACGTTGCTTTCAACATATGCTTGGCTTCCCTGAGGAAATCATCAGGTTCCCCCCAAGAGGAAACACTTCTTCACAAAATGGCCCCAAAAGCAAATGCTTAAGGCACCCACAAAAGGACATGTACAGTTGGCTGAAAGCGGACCCATCCCCTTCCCGAAAAGGCATTCTACCCCAGTGTAAGGCCCCTGCTTCAGAAAAGGATCCAAAGACAAAACCCGGAAACCAAAGCACTCCTTCTGACCAATCTGCCCAACCTAGTTATGGGTCCATCTTGCAATGGGGGAAGCCCGCACAAAAACGGGTGATGTTCCCTTTGAAATGTCCTTTCCTTCCTTGTGCAGGGGTCATGACGATTCTCCCAAGCATTGCACCACGTGAGGATTGTTGGGCAAACGTTTCGTTCCGTCCGCCTTTTTCGAGGCTACCCAATTTTTGGATCGCTTCAAAAGGAAACCGAACAGAAACCACCATTTTGGGGGGACCCTGAAAAAGACGAGCTACCATTGGTGGGAACTGGCTCGTCGGAAGCCTGTTTCGAGAGAAATGTCCAGTTGGGGATAACCATTTTTATGTACTTTCATTATAACCTAATGTAATTGGTATATGTACTTTCCATATTTCTGTACATGTATCGAAATTAATTCTTATGACACATACCCATAGCTATGATACTTAATTAAAAACATGTTCACTGACGCCTTCGCACTTTCGAGAACACGTTATCTTCGGGAAACCAAAAGGAACACCGACAATTCCATTTGGGGGGTCCAAACCCTGTTTTGACCCAAGTATTCTTGAGGGTACCCTTTTTTGAGGGGGTGTCTTTTTTCAGGTTCTTTTTGCTGGCTGCCAAGTCCTAATGTTCACATGGGATTAGTAAACGGGGTCCCCCCCCCCAACAATGGGGGCACCTGGAACACTATCTTGAGATCCAGTTCAAGTGAGTTTCCATTTGATTTAGTATTGGTAGACTTGAGCTTTCCTTTGGTTTAGTATTGCTGGAGCTTCCTTTTGAGATTTGGAACTGAGTTTCCATGTGATTTTGTATTGCCGGAGCTTCCTTTTGAGATTTGGAACTGAGTTAGTTTTCATTTGATGTAGTATGGGTAGACTTGAGTTTCCATTTGATGTAGTATTGCTGGAGCTTGCTTTTGAGATTTGGAACTGAGTTTCCATTTGATTTAGTATTGGTGCAGCTTTCTTTTCCTCTTTCTTGGGGGGGCCAGGCAACAGGACTTTCTTTGGGGGGGCCCTGAAATAATGTCATATTTGGGGGCTGAAGTACTACCTCCTTTGTGGTTTTGATTGTGGGCAGGTTTCAAACAAGAGACATGTAAGAAAACATGACTTCTGGGGAAGCTGGACATGTTGAGTTTGGGGCGCTGAAGAACAAGTTGCCAAAGATCCAAGGACGAGGTGTTGGGTTGGCTACCTCTCCTCTTCTTTTTCTCCTTTTTTGTTCTTCTTTATTTTGGGGGAAAAAGTTTGCGCGCGGGTGGCGAGTGCTTGTCTTTAATGCAGGTGCATTTATTAATCTTTTTGGGCCCCCCCCATTTGTCTTCATTCCGCGTGCATTTACTAATCCTATGTGGACATTATGACACACGCCCACAGGATCTTCCAGACTTGGGGAAACCGCCGAAGCGATCACTCCCGAACGGTAACCAACCTAGGCGTCCTTTTGTAAAAATCGATGGTTTCCCTGGCAAATAGGTTATGAAACTCATCGAAACCAGCGGAACCCATCCATGTTTCACCGCACTAACCCATCAAAACTGGGCTGCCCGTAGATCCCCCGCTAAAAGCGACTTAAGTGGAAACGATCACTAAACACTAAAAGGCTAAAAAGCTGAGGAACCGGATGGGCCACCAAGGTTTCACCACCATAGTGGTGTTTTGGAAAAATAGATGGCCCTGGTAAATGGAATAAACCCCAACTAAACCAGTGCCATCTATCTTTACCCAAACTCACCTACAAAGGACACCTATGTTAACCACACGAACCGAATGAAAAGGACACCCATGGCTCACCCCAGCCGGCAGGCTCCAGGAAGTGCTTCTTCGGCAGCTCCCCGCCAACGTCCAGCGCCCTCCGCAGGCCGTCCGCCAGCAGCTCCCGGGTGAGCTCCTGGCGCCGTGGTTTGAGCGACGGAGTGAGAGAGGCTCCAGGCCTGGCAGATGCCAAGTGATGCCTTTGGTCAGAACTTGCCTGGATTTAGGACCCCAGCAAAAAGCGTATGTTTGTTACTGCTTGGTAGTGGAAAACAAAGGGAACCCGCACAAAAAGCAAAATTTAAAAGGGGAACAAATTCTGGAGAAGAGAAGGTGTCAACGCCGGAGCACTTGGGGCCTTGGTGCCCGGGACCAAATCGGACTGAAGACGAAAATGCAGGGGATGCAGCCAGCATCAGTCTTGCGGAGCCAAACAAGCTGGTTGAGTCGGAATCCGGCTTTCCAGCTCAAAGTAAATGTCTGCTGGATGCTCGCCAAATACCCCGTGATGTGTTGGAGGAACCTGGAAAACCTGATCAAAAAGAGACGAGTCTTTTTTGCAGGATTTGTGGGTCTTGGGTGGACTGCTGGTGCCAGCGAATTGTGCTGTGGTTCTTGATGGTTGCTTGATGCAGGATAGCAGTTAGTTTGTCCGGCTGAAAGTGGGTCATATTGGATTCTGGTAACAAACAAAACTTCGCAGTTGGATGACACCCACCCCAAGCAATTGTCGGGATACGTCTTTATTTGGGGGACTCCCGACTTTCAACCCCACTCCCTGACTCCCACTCCCCCAAATCCCACCTCCAACTCTCCCCCCCCCCCCCCACTCCCCCAACCCCACTCCCCCAACCCCCCCCACTCCCCCAACCCCCCCCGACTCCCCCCCACTCCCCCCACTCCCCGCCACTCCCCCCCACTCCCCGCCACTCCCCGCCACTCCCCTCCACTCCCCGCCACTCCCCCCCACTCCCCGCCACTCCCCGCCACTCCCCGCCACTTCCTTCGAGGGGAGGCCATCCGCCTCCGCGAGCGCCTTTGCCAGGGAGTCCGTGAAGGCATTGATGGACTTCACCTCGGTCCGTGGGCCCCAAGCGCCAAGAGCCAAGAGCGGGGGCCCAAGAAGACCCTAGAAGGAGTCTTGGAAGGCTTCTCATTCGGGTTGGGCTGGGTTCTTAGAACCAAAAAAAGAAGCTCAGGTGATATCCCTAAGAGAGGCGCCAAGAGGGGGCCCCAGAAGAACCCTGGAAAGGATTCTTGGAAGGGTTCCCTCTTGGGGTTGGGGGAGGGGGGTGCGGGTCTGAGAACCTTTCTGGTAGGGCCCTGATGAGTTGCACTAATTACATGACCAGCTTCCATGAGGTCGCATTGGACCGGGCTTTCACCGCTTTGCATGGCGCAACAGACCAGGCGACACCAGCCTCAAACTCTGGCCGCTTTCCCCTTCACAACTGCTTCCCAACCGGCAAGGCTCCTCTTTCAAAACCACTCCGAAGCGAAAGTACCTATGTACGGGCCCAAAAGCCGAAAGGCTGGTTGGAAACCTCCCTTCTGCTGTTTGCTCGTCAGTGGAAAACATGACCGGTCTGCTTGTAAGCGGTATACATGACCGTCAGTTTCTGCTCGTCTCATCTGCAGGTATCCTTCTTGGTTCGTTTGCCTCGTCTCCAGAAAAACCATCCATTTTCCAAGCAAACCCACTAAAAAGGACACCTCTAGTCTCATCCCAAAAGCCATAGAACCCCTAGCCCCCCAGACCGGTCTGGCCGGAGAAAGCATCTCACAGCCCATCGCCTGGGCAGGGTCCTGCTGGATGATCTGCCGCTGCTCCATGGCGCCTAAACGAAATTTTCAGCCGCACCAAGAAGTTGCCAAGCCCAAGGAACTGATTGCCTAACTCTGCAACGCAAAAAAAACTCCCCCGAGTCTTTTGGGAGGGAGCCGTTGCGGGATCCCCAGGACTCCGCGAAAAATTCCCGGGGGCGTTTTTGGGGGGCCCGACCCAGGCGGAGCTGACCCATTTCCAGAGACAAGGCCAATTCAGGTGCTAGAAAATGAGGGGAAACTTCCACTTCCCACTGCAAAAAACACTTTCTGCTGCCCAAAAGATCGAGAAAAAACGCTCCGAGGCGTGCCTCAAGCATCTCGCCAGGATCTTTGGCGCATGAGAAGCAAAGATGAGATGCGAAGCTGCCTTCAAACAGCACAGTGTCACTTAATTGAAGCTCGGAGTCCACGGCCCTGAAAGATGTGGATCTGTCACGTAGATTTAAAGAGAACTCTAGAAATTCTAGGGTTTTCTGGTGTTTGGCCCTGGCATTTCGCATCGGCTTCGGGCTTCGAGCCGCACGCTGCAGGTGAAACGCGGCATCCAAGAAGCCAACGGTTGCTGGGCTGAGCTTGCAGTGAAGCTGCATTCACTCAACCCCATGTGCAGAATTCAGGGACAAGACAACTCCTTGGCAGGTTGCTGAGCTTCCGCTTGGGCTTCGGGGCACAGTCCTTCTGGGAAAGTAACTAGGAACTTGCCAGTGGTTGAAGGGCAAGCAACATGAAACCTATCACTTGAACCCAGTGTCGATACGGAAATCTCGAGATCGCCAGCCCATCCTCCGAAACGATCACTTAGCTTACCTTCAGCGCCAATTCAAACACATCGTGAATTGCCCAGAGACACTCGATTTTGCCGTAAGGTCGTGGGTTCCCTTCAACAGTCCCGGTGATTTTCATGTTTCCCAACTGCGAAATGTGACACATTGACATGTGGCTTAACTCCTAGCTGGAACCAAAACAAACAACGCAAGCACCCAGGACATTCTTCATGGAGCTTCCTGCACCTCTTGTTCTTGTTCCAATCTTGTTTTCGGTGTTCTCGAACATCCAAGGCGGTCAAAAACCCAAGCTGAACACGTTCTCTCTTGGCCAAGCAGGGGCCCCCAATTTTGGTGGCCCCCATTTTGGTGGCCCCCATTTTTGGTGGCCCCCATTTTTGGTGGCCGATTCCGTTTTTGAGCCCCCATGTTGAGAAATATCCTGCCTGACATGAATTTGGTTGAGGCCTCGGCCGCGGATCGCGGATCCGCCGGGTTCAGCTTCTGGCGCGAATCGGTGCTTTTGGGGACGCGTCGAAAGTGTCCAACGGGGGATGTCAAGCCTTGGCGAGGGCCAAAACATCTTTGTCTGAGTTGATGTGGTGCTGGCTTCGGGTGGCTCTAGGCTTCGGGTGGGATCAGAGTTGGTTCAGGTTGGTGTAGAGTTGGCTGAGGGTTAGTTTAGGGTTGGTTGGGTTGTTTCAGGGTGAGTTGAGGGTCGGCTTTCTCATCGTTTTTAGCGGATCTAGTTTTGGCCAACGGTCATCAGCAACATGCACAATGCGCCTCTGTTGGCACTGAATCAAATGAAGTGAATAGTAGTCTACTCACGCGCTCATGTCCTGCTCCCCAAACCGGCCATCCTGCTGCCTCTCCGCTGAAGGCATCTGCAAAAAAAAAAACGTGGTTCTAGCATGTCGTGGCCTGTCCCCTCAGTTCCGAAGCTCGCCTTCTCCCCCTTTGCAGCTTGCCTGCTCGCCGGACTCGGACTCGGCCTGACCCGAAGGACATATGATCATGATATGTTGGTATATCGAACTAAATTTGGGGACATCTCTGGGTTTCCCTTGAACAAACCAAAACGAGGTCCATTTGGGGAACCCGCATCTAAGGACCCGAAAAATGCAAGACTGGTCAACATCTTTGCCAGCAACCCGCCCCTGTCCCACCTCGCGAGCGGCATCCTCTCTGCCTTCGCGCTTTTGCAGCCTGCGCATGCACCTGAAAGCAAGGTTCCATTCTTTGACGACCCCAAGCCAAGTTGACTTTATTATTAGTTTAAACAAAAAAAAAACCTTTGAGGGAAATCAGGCACTCGTGGGGTCTACCTAGCAAAAAATGGCACCCAGCTGCCCACGGTGAGTCAAACGTCACGTCTTATTGCTTTCTGAACTGCTGGATTCCCATCCCACTGAGTTGACCATCGCAACATGGCACTGCAGCTCCTTCATGCAGACACACTGCTCATCATCAATATTCCGATGATGAATAGGATGAACTGTGGAGCAAAGAGCAACGAGTAGACTAGTAACTGGGGTGCCACCACAAACCTTCGTCAGCCGGGGAAGCCGAATTGACCATGACTCAGATGGCTCAAATAAGCGCCCAAAACCAAATTGACTTTCGTTTCTAAGATGCTTACAAAGATCTATTCAAATTCAAATATAGGCCTATAACCTACATGGAGCCAGGTAGATCGTACATGCACACGGACACGCGCACAGTTAGATTGCACACCTGCGCTGGCGCAGGAGCAAGATTGCTCCAGCCCGGGCGTCCCGACGTCCGGACGTCCGGGCCTGGGCGTCGGCCTCTCAGATCCGCAGCATGGCGGCTTCCTCGGAACCGATGCAACCAGAAACCGTCAGCCCAGCCAGCTCTCTGAGATTCGAATGTTGCATAATTTTGGCTAGAATTGTGCGAACACAAGGGGCCAACCAAATTCTTTGGGTTTCCTTTTGGCTTGAAAAAAACACCCCATAAAGGGTACCCTCAAAAGACATGCTGAATGCATCCAGAAGGACCCCAACGATGGGTCCAACAACCTTTTGACGCGGTTCCCCGTTTAAGTCCATGGCCATTTCTGGCGGATGCCAATGAATTACCGCCACGTTTGGAGATCCAAATATCCCCAAGGAATGTGGGTGTGAAAGGGACCCAAACATCAACCCCACTTTGACTTCGCACGATCTCAGGAGCGAGGGCTATATTTTGGTTCAATAATAATAATATTTGAAAAAAAATGAATGTTGGCTCTTTCAGGTTCTTATACATTTGCTTCCCTTGAAGCAACTGAACCCCCTGATTTCGACCCAATTTCACACCCACCCCGTCCCGTCCCGTCCCCCCGTCCCCGTTGGCTCGAAGCGACGGAGAGCACCTGCAGCAGGCGCAGGCCCTCGGCTGGCCGGCGCTGAACCTCGCAGATGTTCACGTCCGAGGCGCAGCCGAAGACGTTGGGCTTGGCCTCGTCTCGGCGTCTGAGCGTCGCGTCTTTTCGGCGAGACGAGTCGCACGAGTCGGGTCAAGCAAGGAAATGCCGGAAAGTGGAACGTGTCCCGTAAGGAGTCAGACCTCTTGAGGGAACACCCCTATGCGTCGGTTCTTAGATCAACATTGGTGCCGGGTCTGAGCACCTAGGGGTCCAAGCACCTTAGACTTGGGCCAAAGTTTGCCTCGAAAGCCCCGCTGAGAAAATCAAGTTGGACCCCCGTAGAATCCAGCTCCCAATCCCGAGAGTCAAAGGGCAAAGGGTCGAAGTACCTAAGACTCCCATGCTTGGATGCCTCACCCCCCACAAAAGCCGGGAATGGGCGAAGGAAAGAAGGAAAAAAGCCAGAGACACAGAGCCGAAAGAGATCCAAACCTGGCGCCTGGCAAGGGCCACAAAACCGTGAGGCTTATGAAATCCTACTTTCCTTCAGTTCCCCTTGGATCTTTTTCTCCAATTTACTTAAAAACCTCGCGGGGTTCGCTGCCTCAACGTCCTTCCCTTTGGCGGAGAGCCCTCGTCACTTGCGGGGCTTTCCGCTGCATCCAGCTCGGAGCGGAGGGCGGAGCTGGGCCCCCAGCCCGCGTCTCCGGGATGCACCGCAGCACCTGGCGCCAGCTTTGGCAAAGCCCGGGGCCAGCTTTGGGCCGGCTGGGACATCGTGAGGGGAGCAACTCAGTTGACCAAACAACCAAACAACCAAACAAACAAAACAAGCAAAAACAAGCAAACTAACAAAGTAACAAACAAACAAAACAACACAAACAAACAAACAAACAAAGCAACACAAACAAACAAAACAACACAAACAAGCAAGCAAGCAAGCAAGCAAACAAGCAAAACAACACAAACAAACAAACAAACAAACAAACAAACAAACAAACAAACAAACAAACAAACAAAACAAAAACAAAGAAGCAAACAAACAAAAAAAACAAACAAGCAAACAAAGAAGCAAGCTAGCAAGCAAGCACCCAACCATCCAACCCTCCAGAACAACCCCCCCCCCCCCCACCCAACCACACTAACCATATCTCTTAGCCCTTTCTCAACAACCAAACCAGGACAGTTTCCAAGGGAACCTTCTTAAGGGTCGAAAGGTGAGAACCAATCGGATTTTTTGGGGGCCCTTGTTTCCCCTTATGGACAAAACCACCGCTTTGGCTGGAAACCCTAAGAGTGCATGGGGTAAACCACCAATCCAACAACCGCGCGGCGCGGATTGTATGCCCATGTCTTGTTGGACACATTAAATGTCTGAAAGTAGGAATCCGTCCCCTGTGGCAACGAATTCCTTTGGGCTTCCCTTTAAATAACAAGCAAAAGCTTCTTTTCAAACATCGAACCTGTGACATACCTCGAAGCACAGGTGTCATTTTGATAAAATATGTTTTTTCTAATGGGGCATCCAGCCAATCTAACCGAACTTCCCTAAAAATGGGCACGTATGCCTGGAAAAGATCCATTTTACCCTGACCCCAAGTCGTCCGCTGGGACTCCCTCGAGCGGAATCCGCCTGCAGGGCCTGGCGCCACTGGCCGCAGGCCTCGCAGGCCCACACCGCGGCGGTGCCCGTGAAGAGGTCCACCGGCACCGCCGCCTTCTGCATGGACCAAAGCAGCGCCAGGGCCTGCGCGTCAGGCGATCTGCGACGAGGCATTCGCGAGTCAGGCGATGAGTGTCGTGGGCTCCGGGCAGCGCGTCACTCGCAGATGTGTTGGTTTTTGTTTCTCTGGAAGCCGGGAGAAGCGAGCGGGGTGGAAAGGAAACGGTGTTTTGGGGGGAAACTGTGGGGGATTTCTGAGGGTTTTGGAGGAAGGGGGGTTGGACATGAGCCGGAAGTGATCCCTCAAACTGTAACCGACTGACAACACGCATGTCCTGTATCAAAATAATATATGATTTCGGTTTTGGAACTGTTGGAATCATAATTGTAAAGTTTTGCAGATGAATGTTGGAGTGTGGCAGAAATAGCTTCACCCTTTTGGTGCCGTTTTGGAAGCTAAAAATTAGCCAACCAAGAAAAGGAACGCATTGTGGTGAGCTGGCTTTACACCCAGTGAGCTTGCCGCCAAAAAAGGTGAACTTATGCTTTTTGTCTGGGGTGAGGCTAGATCTACCACAACTTAAAGGATATTCTTGCTGGCATGCTCAAAATACCTTTTGAGGTGTCTGTGTGTGTGTGTGTGTCTCCCGTCAAACTACCACATTCTGAGGATGTCACTTTATTCGACCCGGCAAGTGTCGCTTTGGATAAAAATGTGAATTGTCAGAATCAGGGGGTCATCCCCTCCAAGTGCTTTGTGCTTCGCACCTAGCTTCAAAACTACCCCAAACAAAGGTCCGCGCTGTGAGACAAAGACAAACAGATGGAACTGGGAAATGATCAGAGTCAGACTGGCACACACCGAAGCCTTGCATGTTCCACACTCGCCGCAAAGGACCGTCGACCAAGCAACTGCTCCCGTGCGAGGCATTGTGCTGCAAAGCCAGTGGAAGTTGCTAAGAGAATCATTCTTCGGATCCAGGGTTCCCCTCACAAACGTCAAGAGACTCACGCCGGTCCAAACATGGTTTCAGAAGCCATGATACGCAGCTCATGGAAGCATCATGCATGCACATGCACATAGACACACATATACATACAAATGTACATAAACATGTGCATAATCATCTGCATACACATATACATAAACGAATACACATACACATGCACATACGCACACACACATCTACAGTACATGCACATGGACATACACGTGTGGCTTGCGCATAAACCTACACACACACAATTCTACATGAACATGCGCGCGCGCACACACACACACACACAAAAACACATGCGCATACAAACACAAGTGTACATGTTCATGTACATGCAAGTAACACATATTGCGCCTGCGTCATACATTTAGCATGTGAAATATGCCACTTGCCATACGTCATGTATCACAACATGTTTTCTTTAACATGCAACATCTACCATATGTCATGTAGCATATGTTTATTTGTACATACTCATATTCATATACACATACATATACATCTGCACATACGCATACATGCACATATACATATTATACATGTGCATACCCAGCATCACAATGAGTGAGATGTGTGTGTGTGTACTTTCATTCAAGTGTGCAAGGTGTATACATGGATGGCCAAGATTGCTGGCCATATGCGCTATCATTCAACGTCTGTCCTCCTCATAGCTGTCGATTCGTTACATCCGAATTGTTCCGATGAAAGCAACAGAAAGGCACGAGGCTGCACACGGTCTGAGCCACTTCTCCGCTTCTCCATTTGGGTGTGGCTCAAAATTACACAGGAGGGGTTACGCAGGTTTTGGTCCATGTTTCACTTACCTGGGTTCCATTTCGGTACCGGTTTTTTGAGCCACCGCCAGTGGCCAAGAACCCTCCACCTAGCCCAAGGTGAGAACTTCCTCCCGCCACTGGCCGCTCCCGGTCACCAGACCTTCTGCCACTGACCGCCCCGGCCACAGGCGATGATGGCCGTGTTGCAGCCTAAGATTGCGGGATCCGATACGTGGCTCAAAATGAAGCAACTGGGGTTACGCGGGTTTTACCTGTCCATTTTTCCAGGGTTCCATTTTAGACCCCCATTCTTGAGCCACACCCATATGTTCACCTCTTCACCCACCAAGGGAAGTGGAAGTCAAGGCAAAAAAACCTCTGGTTGAGCCATCCGGCGAAGCGCCCCCCAAATGCTTCGGTTGATGTGGCTGCCCCCACACAAACGGCAACCAAAAGGTTCGGGGGCCCGTAAGTCCTTTGCCGGCGTTTGTGGCCCATTCCAGCCGGCACTCGGAGAATGTCCTTTGCATTGTGTTCGGCGCATGCGCCTCTTTTTTTCTGTGCTTCTGCGTGTTCGCTTCGGCTCATCTTGATGGGAAAGGTCAAATCACTTGGCCAAGTGACCGGCCGACACCTTCCGGGATCTGCCAAGGCAAGAAGGACGGCAGAGTGAGAGCTCGGGGTGAGAACTAAGGCCAAAGGGATCCAAAGCCACAACACGCCTGCCCCATGCCGTTTCAGGATTGTACCTTGGAGAGGTAAAGCCACCCCCACAGCCACTGCAGAGTGCACTCCACACCCTACCTATCCCTACCTATGCAGGTGCGAAAAATGCCCTTGAATGGGGTCTGCAAGTGGCATGCATGAATGTTCGAAGCAGGGCAATAGATCACCCGTCTCCTTTTTTTTGACACCCTTCTTCTCGAAAAACAAACAAACAAAACATGCAGGCCCTATGTCCCTAAGCTTGGACTGCCTAGACATGGGGCCTGCATTTTTGTTGGTTTGAAAAACCCATGCTTTTGTTGTTTTTCTTCCCTTCAAAAAGCTGCCTAGGACTGGATCACCATTTTTTTGACACCTGTCCAACGCTGCTTTCCTTCATACAAGGACACCATTTGAGAGGTAGTGCCACAGAAGGAATCTCCCATGGGTATGAACCTTAACATGCAAAATGAGTGCATGTTTGAAGGGTCCCCACCCCACCCCTCCCCACAAAGCAAAACGGGCAATTTCCCTAGATACCCCCCCCCCCCAAAAAAAAAAAAAAACAACAAGGAAAGAAAAAGACGCGAAACGAAACTAAACTAAGCAAAACAGGCCTGGGTCTGTATGGCTTGTCTCAAAACAGGGGGATGCCCAAAGTGGATTTCAACTTTCCTGTTGGTGTCCCTTTACAACCACCACAAAAGGGCGACACCCCATGGTGTCGTTTGCTTTTCTGGGTTGCTCCATGCCTCCCTTGAGGTTTAAAGGTTGCTAGAGCCTTGGTTTCTGCTGACTCGACAAAAAGTTCCACGTCTTGGGGGTCCAATTCGGAAAATCCGACCTGCTTCAACCAAACAGCTACAGTCCGATCCAAGCAAATCGCCACAAAGAAAGGGGGCCGATCCCGCTCCCCTCTTCCCAAAATAGGTTTGCGGGGGACCTTCCAAAAAAAAGAACGCACCCCCCCCCCAAAAAAAAAAAAAAAACGATTGAAAGGACACCCAACCCACACCCACCCCATTCGCGGCTCTTCCTGCTTTCGTCGCTCTTCAAGCGCCCCTTCCCGTCCCTTCCCATCCGGGGCGCTCACGTCGTTCCGCAGCGCCTCGCCTTCGGCGCCGCCGGCTGCGTCCCGGAGGCCCAGGAGCTCCAGTGCCAGCGGCCAGCGCAGGCCGCGCTCCGCGCTGCTCAGCGCGGAGCTCTGCGACACCACGTTGGGCGCCACGTCTCGGGGAGCGGAGGAGCGGAGGTTGGTTGGGGGCTCTGGTGAGGTGAAATCCGGTTTTTGGGGGGGCGGTTTGGGGGTTGGGGGGTTGGGGGGTTGGGGGGTTGGGGGGGGGGTTGGGGGGTTGGGGGGTTGGGGGGTTGGGGGGTTGGGGGGTTGGGGGGTTGGGGGGTTGGGGGTTGGATGGTCTGGTTTGGTTTCTTTTGGATGAAGGGGATCTCCCCCTTTTTTGTGGGTTCCCCCCTTTTGGGGTTGATTGGAATCCGATTTGTTGGTTTGGGGAGCTGGGTGTGCCTTGCTTGGAAACTGCCCTTATTTTGCTGGTTCGATAGGCAGGGAATGAGTTGGAACCAAGACAAACCGGCTAGCCGCTTGATTGCCAAAACCCGCAAGGTCCTTCCCTACTAAGCACACCGCATCCAAGCATGTGTATCTTGCATAGATACACGGGTGTCTTCCGAACGCTCGCGCGCACAATTGTTCGGAGCATAGACATTTATGCCGTGGTTCGTGCGTACATGTGTGAGTGCGTTGTTTGCTATCTGGGGTCGACCCCCCAAGGGGAAAGATACCTGGTTTGGAACACGCCAACAGCGGCCCTCAAAGGGAAGCCAGCGACAGCTACTAACCACCACAACCACCCTAACCACCCCACCCTCACCCCAACCACACTAACCCCAACCACCCCAACCACCCCAACCACCCCAACCACGCCAACCACGCCAACCACGCCAACCACCCTCCCCCCTCCCCCCCACCACCCTGCCCTTGGCCCCCGACCCAGCTGGTCCATGCGCATCAGCAGGCCCAGCACCTCCCGCCACTCGCAGGCGCCCACCGCCGAGGTGAAGGTCACCACGTCCGGCTTCGGCGCCCCCGGAACCGCCTGCAGCCTGGGGCTCGCCGAGTGGACCCCGGAAACCCCCCCCCTCTTTGGGTGGGGGGTGTGCGTGCGTGGGGGGTTTGGGTGGGGGTCTGGGGGTATGGGGGTGTGGGGGTGGCACCACCAAATGAAACACCCACCCACCCCAAGCTGGCCGGAGAGATGCAGGGAATGACCCCAAGAAACACCATCTAACTGATCGTGTCCTTTAAAGGAATTGTCTGGTTTATTCCCTCATTCCCTGCTGAGCACCAGCAAGTCAGGTGAGGGCGGGAGGGGGGGGGGGAAGTTGGGGTGTGGGGGTTGCACCACCAAATGAATTCAAAGAAAACCGGCGAATAGACTGGCAGCAATAATATGCGAGCATCTGAAGCTTCCAGGTGCACGTCAAGCGTGCGCTTAGAAAACGCTAGTCCTCACTTCCTGAGTGGATTGGCCCCCAAAAAAGTCTAAACTGCTTGGCTCTTTCCAAAATGTGGTTAAAGTCCAGGATCTCGGGAAGTCAGAGTCAGCAAGCGACACAATCCCACACAATGGTTCTGAGTTCAAGCTCGTCTAAAATCGCCTGGGGCAAGAGAGAACTGACCCTGACTTCTGTAGATGAGCAAGTAAACATTAGAATCTCATAGGGTTGGATTACTCGACGGCCCTCCAACATTGAAATCCGCTTGCTTCTGCATGGGCTTGCCAGAGGCTGGCCTGAAAGAAGAACCTGAGGCTTCATCAGAAGACAGGTTGTTAGCCCTTTAAGACCTTCCAGGCACTACTTGAAGCCAAAACTTGACGCGCAAAGCATCCCCCACTGGTTCGAAGAGAGAGAGAGAGAGAGAGAGAGAGAGAGAGAGAAAGAAAGAAAGAAAGAAAGAAAGAAAGAGCGAGAGAGAGAGAGAGAGAGAAAAAAAAAAAAAAAAGAGAGAGAGAGAGAGAGAGATTGGTGGAAAGAGCCGCTCCCCCACTGGTGGTTTCCCTGTGGCTTCCCTCCACCAAAAGAGGTACCCTCAAAACCGACACGCCGAGACTGCCCAGCTGTCAAAGCCGCGAGTGCAGGGTGTCTAAACTCCTTGTCCACAGACGGCAGCGCTCGCAGGCGCTCATCATGCAGTTGTACCTTTGGCGCTTCGGCAAGAAACCGCGCGACCATAGCTGTCCTTTGGAAAGATAGATGGGTTTCCCTAGCAGACCCCATCTAAACCAGGACCATCTATTCTTAACCAAAGGAACCTAGAAAGGACACCTAATTATGCGCACGTCAGCACCCATGGCTGGTTAGTCCCCCATGTCCCTAACCAGAGCTCCGATAGCTCCGATTCAATCGCTCCCTCTTCAAAAAGCAAAATTTCAATCCCAATTCCTGGGCTCCCCTCCACCACCAGCGAGTACTAGCCGTCTGCAACTTGAAACCGTGATAAGATGTTCCAAGTGGCTCCTTAGCCAGTCAAAAAGCAACCACGCCGCTACCCCACATGGCTGCTGTGGAATACTTCAGCCCATGGCAAATGTCGACCCCCAGCGTGCCAATTGAGGGCGGGGATACTTCCTCTTACATAAGCAGCTAGTAGATCTTCGCGTTTTTCCAGGGGTTGCTGAGGTCCTGGGTCGTCCCCGCGGCCCAAGACTCAACTTCCTTTTGCTGCCCTCGATCGATGCCTTCTGACGGTCGCATGCATTGTTGCGAAATCCATTTCGCACACCGTTCAGAAACCCTGGCATGATGATTCCCCTGTAAATACCAGCAAACGTTGTGGTTTCAACCATGGCTTCATTTCGTGCGAACGGACTTTGTCCATCAGTATCAAAAGCTAGGGTCCCATCAAAGCCACGACTGACCGACCCAAGGGCTGAGGGCAAAATGGAGAGTCAACATAGGCTGCGACCCTCAAAATCAGCTTTCCGTTTGGCTTCCAATAAACCAATCACAAAAAAGACAACCGCAACACAAGCAGCGTGCCAACTCGGGCAATATGGTGGCAAATGGAGACATCTTGTCATTCTGGGGGTCCTCTAGTACATCTGGGCAAGTCGCGGTTCCATCCCGTAGTAAGCAGACAACACTGCCCCGGCGTGTTTCACTGTGCCCCACAGTGCCATACCCATAGCTTCAAAACTTTGCTGAGGCTCAACCATATCCTGGAAGAACTGAGGCATGTAAAGTCTGTCCCTGCAAATAGCTGGATAAGCCTCCCTCCTGTTCTTCCCAGCTGAGTCGCGCAAAGATTTCAGCTGAGGATCCTGGCAACGCGACTGGTTCCGATGCAACAAACCTCTAGATTTCAAGGGTGACCTCAAGTTGTACTTTTATACAGAAATCAGAAAAACGGTTGCCACTTTTGGCGGGTTCCGATTCCTATTTTGAGACACCCACCTTGATTTCATCCAAAACATGGGAACAGTTCGAAAAACAACCCCACCCCACCCCACCTTCCCCCCCTCAAAACCGCAAAAAATATCCTCAAAGCCGCCTGGGGTTTTGTTCACAAGATGGGAAATCCCTTCGCATCCCTTCGCATCCACGCCACGCATCCACACCACGCATCCAACGCCACGGCGACCCCGGCGATCCGGATCCTTGCCTCGTGCGCTCAGCAGGGCGCTCGTCTCCCGCCAGCGCAGGCCCTGAGCACCAAGCTGGGAGGACGCCAAGCGCTCGCTCCGCTTGGCTTGGCACGGGAGGCCACAGGGAAAACCGCCCCAATCGCCCCATTTTTAGGAGTAACCCGAAGAAAACCACCAAAGGAAAAAGCAGCGGCAGGCAAAAAACAGGGCGCCCTAAAAACGGCAGTAACGGTTTTTTTCAGGCGGCTTTTTCTGTTCTGAAGGGAAAGCAAAAGGAAACCATTTGTTGGTGGGTTCCCGAGTTTAAGACACATACCCAAATGGTTCGACCGAGACTAGACTTGGACTATCAGATTTTGGTTGCCACAGATGTGCGTTCCCAGAGTTGGTTCATAGTCTGTCTATTCAACCTGTGTGTCTAGGGTTGCTCTATTCGTTCTCTGAAAACTGGAAAATCGGAAGATCTCTGGCTGCATCTGTGGTTCGATCACCAAAGACCATGGCCGCAATGGGAGCATCCCCTCAAGTGAAAGGGGCATTGTTCAGGGAAGCAACCAATTTTGGTACCCCATTTTGAGACAAACGTCTGTATGTTGCAGTGGGCATTTGGCCCCCAGAGAAACTGGTCTGCTATCTATCAGCGGCACCCCTCTGCATTCGGCTCAAGTTGGCAAAAGCTCGGGCGCCATTCCTTTAAACGGAGGCGCTGCCAAGTCTCAACCCTGCAGCACCTTGGCACAACTTGTTTTTCTTCCGCGCTGCTGCGCCTAAGTCCAGGTGTAGGCGGCCGCCACTGCCACCTCCGCGTCTGCCAGCTGGGACTGCAAATGCTGCGCGGTGGTCCGGATGGACTTGGCGGGCCCGAAGCCCTCGAAGCCCTTGAGCCCAGGCCGGTGCTCGTGGCCCTCGGGCCGCGCGGCGGCCAGGAGCTCCGTGGCCTGGCGCAGCTCGTGGAGCCGCGCCCAGAGGGGCGGCAGCTCCAAACTCTGCGCCTCCAGACTCTGCGCCTCCAGCTCCGCGTGCAGCGCCGCCACCAGGCGCCGCTGCCGCGCCGCCAGCTCCGCCTGCCGCGCCTGCAGCGCCGCCGCACGGGACGCCGAGGCCGAGGCATCCCCCGAGGCGCCGCTGGAGGCGTCGCCCAGGGCGTCGAGGTCCGAGCGAATGGCCTCAGCCCGGGCCGGCAGCGTCCGCGCCAGGTGCTGCAGCAGCTGCTTCCGTGCCGCCAGGTTGGCCAGGCCGCTCCTCAAGTCAGCCACACCCTTGGCCAGGTCCTCCGCCTTCTCGGCTTTGCCTGCGACCTTGGGGGTCACCAGAGGCTTCTCCAAGAGCTGCAGCGGATCTGTCTTTGGCGCAGAAGGGGTAGAGGACTCTTCTTGCTTGGCCTGAAGCTCCACATGCTGCAAAGAAGATGTGGCGGATCTGCCTCTTCTCTCGACTCGCAGCAACACGCCGCGGCCGCTTTCTGGCTGCCAACCAGCAAATTCAGAACCTTCAGACCGCAACTCGGCAAGGGTGTTGACGCCGGCACTCGACCAAGTCCCGGTGCCCGAACCAAGTCTCGGCAATTCAATGGCTGCAAGGAGAGAACTTGATCGAGAAAACAGTGTTGGTATCCCTGGCATGACCGACAAGCGTACGGCAGAGGGCTTTGAACACATGAGGTCGATCTCCTCCACCACTTTGGCTCTGATCTTCCGTCCTTGGAAATCCGGACCAGGGCACTGCTCCAGGGCGAGGATCTCCACCAGACCACAGGAGGCAGCCCGGGCAACTAAGACCAAGCCCGAACATGTAGCCACTTGCACGCTGCAAAAAGACCGCGCCTGCGCCGCCAATGCGCCGTCTTCAATCAGCTGGTTTTCGGGTGAGGAAACCATCGGCGCCGTTCCGTGCAGGTGCTGCTGGTGGTGAATCACCACTGCATCGGCGCCGAGCTTTGCGATCACTTCACGCCGTGCCAGGGCCTTCAGCAGCCACTCGCGCGCAAAGCCTTCGCTGGAGTCCGCGGCAAAGGCGCGCAAGGCCTTGTGGCTCATCACGGCCACTGCTGGCAGCACGGGATTCCGCAAGGCCACGCGCCCAGAAGCGGCCAGGAAGAAGACCGACAGCGAAAGCCAGGCATCTTCCGGAGAGCGCTCCTCGCCGGGCGGCACGAAGGCAAAGTCCACCACCTCTTCTGTCTCAAAGATCTTTGGGAAGTGAAGCTCTGGATCCTGGATGGAAGCGCTCGTGCTGAGATTCAGCAAGCTCCAGCTCCCATCGCTGGACAACATGCCCAGGTGAGCGTCGCTCATGGGATGCCACGCCGCCTGCACGAAGCTGAGGCCGTCTCTGGGCATCAGAGGCAGCGCCTCCAAAATCTGCGCATCCTCGCCCTCCAGCCCATCCAGGGATACCACGGCGCAGCACTGCGCCGCGAAGAGGGCCGCGGCCCTGGCCGCCACCAGCACCTGGCGGAACTCCCCGTCGAAGCCTGGCACATCCACCCGAAACTTCTGGCCCCGGTCCTGGAGACAGACGTGCACCAGGCCGCCCTCACGCCATGCCACGGCACAGCCTGGCCCTGCCGACCAAGACTTGCCCAGCTGGATCTCTCGGCTCATGGCTTTCGGGCGTCCATTGGCCTCCATTGAGCCACTAAACAGCTCCTGGCGAATACCCTTCAACTTGTTTGGCCAAACTGTCCTCAGCTTGATGTGACAGCCAAACACCAAGGTGACCTGCAGTGGAAAACATGGCATGGAAAGAAAACCAAGCCACCGCTCTGTGCTTCCGAGCTCGCCTTCTCCAGCGAGCTCATGGCGGCGTTCAGCGTCACGTGGCTGGGCTCGTGCCCCCGCTGCCCTTGGCCCCAAGCGAACCCCCCCCCCCCTCCGGCGCGGGCGGAAGGTTTCACAGTGGACAGCCAGGGGGGTAACCAAGTTGGAGAACCAAGTAATGAAGGGATCCCTGGCAGAGCGTCCATTGGAATGAAGGGATAGCCAGCAAAAAAGCCAGGTCACGTTCGGGGGAGCCACCCCTGTTCCAATAGAAGCTGTTACAGGTTTTGGAAGACCTGCCTGCCTTTTGGGAAGCTCCCAGAACCCACTTCCATGACTGCCGGGAAGAAGGAAAGCAGGGGGTAAGGGGACAGCCAAAAAACATGGGGAATCGAGGGGATGACCTGGACCACAGGAACTACCTAGAGTCTCCATGACCCCCCCCACTTTTTAAGGGTCATGGAGACTCCAGGTAGTCTTTTCAACAACTGCTGCCCCCCCCCCCAACAGAAAATATACATAAAGCTCCTTGCTTGCCGATGCTTTGATAAGCAGCGGCACCCTTCGGCTTCGTGCCCGCAACACCGAGGGCCTTGCGCATCGTTCCCAGCAGTTCCGCAGAGAAGCGCCACTGGCAGCCTCGAAACGCTCCAAACCGAGCACCGATTTCCGGGCCATAGCAAGGTACTGGGAGCTTCAAATCCGAATGAACCGGTAGTCTTTTTTGTTAAGGAGATGTCTAAACATCAAAACCCCACAAGCTTCCAGGTCGCGGGGCACTCAAACAGGCAGGCCTTGTGCACTCTTTTCAAGTAAATTCAAGGGAAAGCAACAGGAAACCGCCGTTTTGGCAGATTTCCCTCCCCCCCCCAAAAATAGTAAAAGGAGAATTCAAAGAATTATTCTTTCTACTATTTTTTTTCCAACAGCAACACAACAAACAGAAAACACAATCCAGAACAACAAGCAAACAAAATAAATAATCACAACCAGCAACAAAAATATTTAATCACAGCATGCAACATTAAATAATTCAAACAAGCATACCAACAAAACAGCAACACTCTAAATCATCAAAGAACCCAAACTCAAAAACACACATCAACAAAAATCAAAGCAACATACCAACAAAAAATATCATAAGAGTATCAAACAAAACAAAAACAAACAGCCAAAGCACGAAAAAATTGAAGAAGCATGCCAAGTCTAAACAACGCACTTTGAAAGAGATAAGCAAATTATAATAATTCAATCTTTACAAACGATAAATATATTACAATTATAACATATAATATTTTACATGTGATAATCATAGTATGACTAAATCGTTCCAGAAAAAATGAAATTGGGACTGGAGTCCCCGAAAATTGGGACTAGAGTCCCCGAATCCCACGCATTTTGGGTCAGAGTCCCACGCATTTTGGGTCAGAGTCCCACGCATTTTGGGTCAGAGTCCCACGCATTTTGGGTCAGAGTCCCACGCATTTTGGGTCAGAGTCCCACGCATTTTGGGACTGGAGTCCCCGAATTTATGACATTCCAACCAAACCTAAATCCTTAATCCGTCAAGCTCACCAAGATTTCACAAATTAATTCGCTAGGTATTTTATATAGGTCTTCCTGCTTATGTATTGTTGGATTGTCTCCCCAATTTTCCTTGGTGCCCGATGGTAGCCGTTGCGCAGTTTCAATATGTTTATTATTCCTGATGTTGCCACAATCCTTTTTACATAATTCTCTAGGTTTCCAAGTTGTAATGTTATTCCATAGCCTAGTCCTCTTTCTATAATTAAATCCATATTTACAATAATCAACATCTTTAAAATCAAACTCATCCATAAACTCCTGATGTTTTAATAATCCAGTTTGTGGATTTTCGATTACAAAATATTTAGGATTGAAATATTTGATAATCTCAATAGTTTTTAAGACAATACTATTTGCATATTCGATATTCCTAATTCCCCTAGTTTTTGCTATGCTGTATTCAGTGCATGGGGGACTACTCCAAATAAAATCAAAATGGTTCCTATCAAATTGTTTATAATCCCACTCCAAAATATCAGTGTTGATATCAGCATTTTTCAAGTCTAATGATATCACATTAAATCCAAGCGACTTTGCTATGGTTCCAACGCTTTTTGTTCCACTAAATAATTCTAATAAATTCATTTATTAGAATTATTTAGATATTATTTATTCAAATAATACATATACTCCATCATCATTTTTTGAAATTTTGTAAAATTCTAAAGTGGTGCTTTTAGGTTGTTTGATTTTTCCTGTATTCAACATATCACAGTATTTCTTTTGCTTTGTCGGGTAGTCGCCCGATGGTCTTCCTATAGATTTTGCTTGAAATATCTTTTCGATTTTTTCTTTATCTTCATTGCGTTCAACTGGTTTCATTTTGTCATCAATGGATTTAATCATATCATTTAAGGTTTTAATATTTTTACCAATTAATGTTATCTTCTTCATTAAATCATTAATACTATAATTCTCATTTTCAGACATTACTATATATATTTATTTAGATAATTATTTATTTAATTATACGTTTTATTATATAATTTACCTGAATAATTTAATGTTATATATGTAAATAAATTATATTCTAAGAGTCTTTCATCAATTTTATTTTTCAATTTTATTAAACCTTCATCGTTACCTGTAATTTCAAAAAACTTCAACATTTTATCAAATTTATCTGGTTTAGTTATACCTTTCATAAAATATTTATTATTAAATTTAGCATCTAACCAATAAAAATATTCTATACTCAATTGTCTAGCAAAGTTTTTATCACCATCGAATAGGTCTTTAATTTCTTCATTGTCAAAAGTTATAATTCTATGGTCTTGTCCATTCATAGTTGGCATTATGATTATATAAATAATTAGATATTTATTTAAATATTTATTTATTTATTTATATTTATAAAGTGCAATTATGTTAAATCTACTCTTTAAATACTAACTTATGTCTCTGTTAAAACTAACATTAATCAAATGTTCGTTAGTTTCAATAACCATATCGCCATCTGTTCTTTTCTGAATATTAAAATCTTTATCTGTTTTTTTATAAGAAAACATACATGGGACACAACTAACTTTGACTCCACCTTTTTTATCTACTGTCAATTCATTTTTAAAATTCATTATGTGATTACATTTATCACATTTTATAGCCTTACTTTCGCCTAGTGATTTAACACTTTCTGTTGTTTTTTTCCGTGCTTCAATATCTGGTATTGGTCTTTCTTTGTCTTTACTTTTTTTCTTTTTTGGCATTTATATTAGCATTTATATTTTTAATATATTGTATCAAAAACTTAATTAATTCTAAAATAAAATAACATATTTTTTTACATCTATTATCAGTTATTAGTACTTGTTCTATATTCTCCATTTCATCTATTATATTAATATAATCTGAATAACTCCTTTTCATATTAAATAATAAGATAAATTATTTTTAATTTCTGTCTTTCTTTTCTTGTAAAGTTTTTTCATTGTATCGTCCTTATTCCATCTATATCCCACAAATTTCTGATGATGTTTTGAATTTAGATGTTTAAATAAATATTTGTCATCATAAGTTTTACCACAACTGCAATGGATAATAGTCATATAAATAATAAGATAAAATAATTATTTAGATTATTTAATCTTATTATTTTCATGCATAATAGAATATTGGTGGGGCACAGCACTTGGGGTTTTCATTGCACGCGAGAGAGATACAAACTAATTAGCTTCAATGCTTATTGATTGAATCAATGGACGCATCGGCGATGCCTCGCGAAGCTTCGCGACAACCTGTTCCATTTTATGATATTCGCCACCAGCATATCATAAAACGATGTCCCATTAATATTAAATAGAATATTTATTTAAATTATTTTCTTTAGCTTTAGTAAGTTTTAGTGCAGTTAGCATATCAACATCTAGAATATTATTATTAATAACTTCTTGTACACTACTTACCATTTCATCTGTATATGTATTAGAATAATCTTTCATAAAATTTACTAACTTTCTAAAATTAAAATCTAGGTTATTGTCATTTTCAATTGCGGACTTGGATACTACGATATTATAATTTTTAATTCCAGATAAAAAGTATAACATCGTATCATAATATATTTGTACAGTATCTGGAACTAAGACATCACCAAATTTATATATCCTCCGAATACTAGCCACTTCACTTAAATCAATAGATTCTATTGTCATTATGATATAAGTATATTATATTTTATTATTTTATAAGTATTTATAATATTATTTATGATTGATATCAAACCGTACAAAACTAAAGAATACAATAGTAAACAATCACGACATGATCATGTAGGTAAACTACCTGCGAGACAAATATTCGCGGCACCGTCGGGAGTTGGTAAAACAGTTACACTGACTAATTTAATATTAAATGTGTATCGTGATTGTTTTGAAAAAATATTTATTTTTAGTCCGACAATACATTTAGATAATAACTGGGACACAGTAAAAGATTATATATCAAACAAATTAAAAATAAATCATACTGAAGACGATCCCGTATATTTTGATACATTTAATGAAGAACAAATGAAAAATATTATTGATACTCAAGAAAAAATAGTAAAATATATGAAAGATAAAGATTTTTCAAAAATTTATAATATTGCTATAATAGTAGATGATTTTAGCGATAATAAAGATGTTGCTAGAAAAAATAAAGAACTTGTAAGATTGTTTGTCAAAGGTAGACATTATTTTATTTCTACTTTTATAACGTGTCAATCTTATACATTATTGAATCCGGTAGTTAGAAAAAACGCAACACAATTATATGTATATAGATTAAGGAATCAGAAAGATCTAGATTCTATAATAGACGAACTTAGCGCTTTATATGATAAACAAACATTATTACAATTGTATCACACAGCCACCGATGAAAAACATAGTTTTATGTTTATTAATATGATGGAATCTGATAAAGAAAAAATGTTTTATAAAAATTTAAATCAACGAATGATACCTAATTAATATATATTAAATAATTAAATAATTAAATAATTAAATATATATTAATATTATATGCTATTTTATGATTTACCAATAGAGATTAAAAATATAGTATTATCTTATAGTTTAGGTGATGTTAAATTATTAAAAATAAAAAATAGTAATATTATTAAAATTATATTAATAAATATAAACCAGTTTATAAGTCTTACACATTAAATAACATACATTATTTTGAAATTGATAATATCAATATTAATAATGGATTTTCATATATTTTTAATTTAAATGAGTTAGATAAATTACATCATAAATATAAACCATTAAAATTATTTATTGAATATGATGCACTTGCTATCTATAGCTCGTTTACTTGTTTGAATCATGTTTGTAATCGAACTTTAATATCAATTAATTTATTTGATATTTATTATTTTCTTACCAAAGATCTTCATAAAATTAAATTAGTATATGGAAGAAGTAGTCCGGTTGATCTTATTTCAGTACAAATAAAAAAAATAATTATTAAAGTTATCAATGATGGTGAACAAAATATTATTGATGACTTTTATTTTTATCTTTAAAATTAATAACATTAAGATTATGGCTTAATGTTATTAA